CCCCGCCGCACCACTTGCCTCGCGGGCCCGCGCCGCGGCTGGGGGCGCGCCCATGAAGATGGACCCGAGCTGGCCGGCCTCCCCAGCGGGCGGCCCGGGCCCCGACCCAGAGCCCGGTGGGCCCGGAGCGCCCGCCGCCCCCGCCCCGCGCCCTGGGCTCGGCCTGCAGGACCTCGCGGCCGGCGCGGATGCTGGGCGAGCTCCGGGGCGGGAGCGGCAGCCGCAGCGCTCGAGCCGGGACTCCGACCCCGACCCGCCGCTGCCGGAACTCGGCCCGCTCTTTTCCTGGACGACGGAGCAGGCGGGTGACGGCCCCCCGCACAGCGCGTCTGTCCGCGCGCAGGACTTCAGCCGCAGCCATCACCTGAGGGGCGAGGTCGACTTCTTTCCTTCCTTCGCGTCCCCCGCGGTGGGCGAGCCGGTCCTGGAGCTGGGTCCCGGGGACCCGGACCGGCCCTCGGACTTTAACCAGACCCGCCCCCTAACGAGCGAGCCCGCGGGGTGTCCGGAGGACGGCCCCCGCCTCCGAGCCGTATTCGATGCCCTGGACGGGGATGGGGACGGCTTCGTCCGCATCGAAGACTTCGTCCAGTTCGCCACCGTCTATGGGGCAGAACAGGTAACTCGCAGCGTGGCAGACGGGCCCCGCGCGGTGTTCGCGGAGTGCCGGTCCCGCGTTCTCTTTTGATTCACTTCTGCTCTCACCTCTGGTTGAATTTCGCTGAAGCACCTCTTCCCCCTTTAAAGAGGTTCTATTCCCGGGAGTCAGTTTCTTTCCCTGCCATCCCAAGCCACACAATCTTATCTTTCCTAAATTGAGAGGAGCTCCTGGCGTGGGGACAAGCCCCTAGGCTGCCGGATAAAAGTGCCCCCTGGATGGAGAAGTGCCAGCGGTTCCCCCAACTGAGGGCCCAGGTCTGGTTTGGCCGAAGTAATTAACTTCTTCGGTCTGCAAAGGACAGGCTGCACTTGGACGGTTAAGATCATGTTAATCTATTTTGAGCGCAGTTACTTTACTGTGTGTGTTTGTCTTATGTTTTAGGTAGATTCGTTGTTGGGGAAACAGTGAACGTGAAAAACGGTCATTTCCATACCTTCTGTGCGGAAGGGAAAGGGATGACCCCCAGAGGGAGGGGAAGGAGCCTAAGAGCACAGTGGTGAATACAAACTCGAGCAGAACTCCATCAGGGCCATCTCCACTCTTGTAGGACAGGTGAGGTGCTGGACAGGTGACGGGAATGCACAGGGCAGTGTGGCAGGAGTCCTGTGCAGCTCCCAGGGCTGCGGCTGCTCTGGGAGAAGGTGGGCCTCAAGATCCAGGCCTTCCCCCATCTCAGCACTTATGAAAGTTTATGTGGAGACAGCAGCAGGGCTGTGTATGTTCTGCTGTTAACCCAAATAGACATCAAATAGGTTACTGGTGTTCACTTTTAAATATTTTACTTAGTAGTGGGAAATCACAAAAGGTTGATCTGCTAGTTTCTGTATTTTGTTGACTTTTCATACATGTGGGTATTTGTTAAGTGGGTGTTCAGGTACATATGCATGTTTAAGCCAAGAGGTAAAATTGACATCCTGCTATTTAGGGTGTCTGCCATAACATTAAGAACCTTTATAAAGGATCTGTGTGCCCCCTGAGTATTCAAAGCGTCCATTGAGCTGTCATGTAAAGAACTGGGTCGTCCTGAGTCAGGGCTCCTTGTTGAGTTTTCAGCGTGGGCATGTCCCTGTGGGGCATCCTGAATGTTGGTGTCTAGGTCAGTGTGAGCTCCTGTTTAGCTCTGGGTTGAAGACGTTGCTCAGGACACGTCTTCCATCTCAGTGTAATGGGCAGAGAGAGAGATACGTGACTGACAGTTTCCTGTATGGTTAGTATGGATTGTGATTGCTAGTCTAAGTTTTATTTATTTATTTTTAAAATAAATTTTAAAATATTTTATTTATTTATTTTTGGCTGTATTGGGTCTTTGTTGCTGCACGTGGGCTTTCTCTAGTTGTGGTGAGCGGGGGCTACTCTTCGTTGCAGTGTGCATGCTTCTCATTGCGGTGGCTTCTCTTGTTGGGGAGCATGGGCTCTAGGCACGTGGGTTTCAGTAGTTGTGGCATGTGGGCTCAGCAGTTGTGGCTCGTGGGCTCTAGAGCACAGGTTCAGTAGTTGTGGTGCACAGGGTTAGTTGCTCTACAGTGTGTGGGATCTTCCCGGACCAGGGATTGAACCTGTGTCCCCTGAATTGGCAGGTAGATTCTTAACCACTGCACCACCAGCGAAGTCCTGGTCTAAGTTTTTTTTATGCTTTTCCTTCTTGCCCCTCGGCTGGAGAGCACCTTGGGTATCCTTGGTTGTTTCTCATTAGTGTGATGTGTCTTCTCTGCAAACATTCTCTTCCTCATTACACCAATCAAGAATGTTAGGAAAGTGGCACATTTGTTCTTCTTTACCATAATCTGACTCTTAATAGAGTGCCTTATAGCTTATATGAGGCTCATTTATGTTTTCACTGGATCATCAACCTTTCTCTGAGGTGGTAGGAGGCAGAAGGGATTCATCCCACTTTACAGGTAAGAAACTAGAGGCCCAAAAAGGTTAAGTTACTTTCCAAGGCCTCACAGATTGTCAGTGCAATAACAGGGACTACACCTAGGTCTTCTGGGCTCATAATGTTTAGGTGGCTCTCAGCTTCCTAGCTTTGGTGCCCCTAAATAATCCCACAAAGTTTCATCTTATTGACTTAATAAAACCATTTTCATTTGAGAACCACCTTTTGTTGTATCATTCTTATTGATCACAGTGGGGAAAAATTGGGGTTGTTATTTGGGGCTGAGCTTTTTCTAAATACAAAGTAGAAATGAGTCAACATTCTTTGTTCTGGTAGCCCCTGGTGGAATTTTAAGTTTGGGGGTAAGGCCAGGTTGACTCAGGATTTGGTGGGGATGGGCAAGTGAGGGAGATCTCTTGTGACATTGCCCCTTCCGTCTGCTGTCCCAGACTTCTCAGGAAGAAGCAGTGTTAGATGTGATCTAAGTACCAGACTTGCACAGGCTTCCTGGGATGGTGGAGGAGAGCTCTTGTTTTGGAGCAGATAATTAACAGTGTAGCAAAAGGTTAATTTTTGTGTCTGTGTAAGGTTTGCTAGCCTTTATTATGACTCAGTCTTGCTTTTCCAAGTCCATTGTCAGAATACATTATAGAGGAGCAAAGAGAAGAAATATTCCTTGATAGTGAAATAATTTAGAGAAAAGTGAAGAATTCTACCTCATGATAAATATTTTTAATTTTTTAAAATGAAAAGTATTGAACATACATAAGAGTAGAGAGCATAGTTTAGTGAAACACTCTACCTGCCCCCAAGCCATTGCACAGTTTCCCGAAGTCTTGGTTCATTTGTGAACTCCCTACTCCCCACCCCCAGATTACTTTTGAAGCACATACCTGACATATCATTTCACCCATAAATATTTCAGTATGTATCTCTAAAAGATAAGAATTCCTTTTTAAACATTTATGATTTTTTTTTAACTGTGGGAACAGTTTGGATAAGCTGGATAACAGCAATAAAGACCATAAGTTGCTGTACTTCCCACCTTGAGATTTCAAAATACTGAGTTCATGAGTCTCTTAGGCCGGTCATATTACTGTCCTTGATGATCGCAACTCAGTTATCTTGATTATTGTCAAATTTTCAAAGGTAGCACTTTCAGTATCTTTTATGTAATCTGTTTATGAAGGAAGTGTTTTAAATTATTTAAGTGGATTATCTGAATTTTTAATAGAAGCAGTTCCCATTCATAATACAGATGGCTTTTGTGTCCCTCTTTCTTTAGCAATGTCATGGTGTGTTTGGCTCTCATTACCTCATCTGGTGATAGATCAGGTGTGGTGTAATAGAACACAGTGTTGGCAGGAATTGAAAGGGGAAAGAAGACTACAGCGGAGCTTTCTGGTTGTATTTTCTTGACCAGGAATTTATAGTCAGATGTGCCCAGGCACTAGTTCTGAAGTTGCAATAGGTTATCTTTAAGGCCTTGACTGTCTATGAAGATTCCTCGTTGACGTGACCCCTTTGTACTGAGAGGACTGATGCTTTTGTAGTCATCACCAACTTATCATAAAGCAGAAATTGTAAAATAAACTGTGAGAGTATTGTGAGAAAGGATTCATTTCTTTTGGTGTTATTTTTCAAAGGAATTAATTATAATTGTAAAGATTATTTTCACAGTATAGCACTCACTTAAGCATTTACATTTTAACAGTCACGGGTCCTTTCCAGAGAGCCCTGCACGTTGGAGCCGTGAATGCCCTTCAGTAACCTTGTGGGCCCTGTCCATCCTCCAAAGCACTTGCAAAAGGAGGCTGCTGGAGGAGGTGTCAATGCACAGGTCTCCCTGCTTTTCATTCCTTTCCATTCCTCTGCTGTTGGGCAGTTGGAACTCCATGGGGACGTTTGGCCACACCTTTTAGTTGCTTCAGTTTTCTTTCCAGTTTCTGTCCTAGTCTTGGGTTTGCGTGTGTGTGTGTGTGTGTGTGTGTGTGTGTGTGTGTGTGTGAGAGAGAGAGAGAGAGAGAGAGAGAGAGAGAGAGAGAGAGAGAGAATGAGTGTGCATGCGGGAGTGGGTGCACATGAGAGCTGGTAGTGTGTGTGTGTCTGGGTCTGTGTGTTGGAGGAATTGCTAAAAGGCAGATGACGTTCCTTTCTGTGCTTGGATCCCAGGCAATTTTGTTAGTGTCTTAAAAAATGTCTTTTTCATAGTATAAAAGTAACGCATGCTTATTATTTTTAAAAACTGGAAAATACAGAGTTATAAAATATAAAACAAAAAATGACCAATAATCCTACTATCACAAGAAAAACAGCGTTAGCATTTTTGTGCATTTCCTTCCAGACTTTTTTGTATACACACACACATAACTGTATAGAAGTACACAATTGAGGTCATATTGGGTAGAAGCTAAGTTATTTTTATAGATGTTTATTGTTTATTTTCTATTATTTTTAAATATTTGACTCTTCCTGGTCTTAGTTGCGGCATGGGGGACCTTCGTTGCAGCACGTGGGTTCTTTTAGTTGCAGTGTGCAGAATCTTTAGTTGCAACATGTGAACTGTTAGTTGCGGCATGTGGGATCTAGTTCCCTGCCCAGGGATCGAACCCGGGCCCTCTGCATTGGGAGCACGGAGTCTTAGCCACTGGAACACCAGGGAAGTCCCAGATGTTCATTGTTTAAAAAAATAGAAGTAAGTAACACCAGTAAGCAAAATATAAAAATAAGAATCACCTATAATCCACCATCCAGAGATAACTATTTAAGTATTTAATGTGTAAATTAAAATATATGTAATAATGCTTCATTGTCCAAAAATGGTATAATTCCATGTCTGTTGTTTTGAACCTGCTTTTTGACCTGTTTTTTAAAATTGAACGTCTCAGATGTATACATTCGTCCCTCTGTATGGAGGGTAGGATTAGTTTCAGGACTTACCCCCCTTGGATACCAAAATCCATAGATGCTCTAGTTACTTATACATAATGGTGTGATATTTGCATATAACCTATATACATCCTTCCATATACTTTATTATTTTTTGTTCTATAATATTTTTTATTGAAACATTGTTGATTTA